AAACTAAGGAAGTATCTATCATGTTATCATAATATTCTTTATTTACCCAGGCACTTCAATCACTAAAAGGGGGGGATATCAGAATGTTTATAAGGGGGAGGGGATTATAATTCCATAAGGGGAGGAATATTTAACAAAAATTTATCCTCCTTTTATCAACTCGGAACAATCGGAACAATAAAATAATATATATATGGCAAAAGAGCCTAAAAAAGATAAGAAATCACCGCCTAACACTATAAATAGTGTTCTACCAGATAATAAAACCCCACCAAAATCCAAACAACAAATAGATAAAGAACATTACCAAAAGAATAAAGAACGCAAAAAACAACAACGTAAGCAAAGGTATCAACAACAAAAACAGCAATCTCAATTAATTACCAAACAACAATCAGCCAAATATTACAGAGCCGAAGCAATTAAAATCTTAATGACTTTTAAAGAATATACCGAATTGAATAAGGAAAAAATGAAACTCTGAACTGATTTCAATTGAACCCTAAAAGAATGTGCCGAGGACATTAAAGAAGGTTTTGGCAGTGTCGAAGCGGTTATGAAATTAGAACAAGTAGCAAATAGTTTAATTAGGGATTATTGAGAAACAGCCAAAAACGAAATCAAAAAAAGTAAAAGTTGAAATCTTTTAGATTATGACGAACAGCAACGATTAATAAGATATTGAGGATACGAGAAAGCAAGAATAGAAAATAACTATTTAGATACTGCCGAGCAATTGGAAAAGCAAAGCCAAGAATACTTAAAAGATATTGAACTTGCTAAATATCATGAGGAAAGAGGCAAAAAAGGTTGTGAATGCTATTCGTGTGAGGAACAAAAGAAAGCAAGGGCAGAAGTAGAAGCAGAAAGGGAGAAAATTATTGCTGATTACGAAGCAGAACAGGAAAAAAGCGGAGATTATGAGACTGAAACAATAAGAGGAGAGTGCGGAAATTGCAGTGAATATAAAAAAGTGGATAGTGATAGTGGATTATGTAAAAAATGCCGAAAAGAATATGAATAACCAGAAAAGCCAGTTATTAAGGAAAATTTGCTACTGAATAAAAATTATTAATGATAACCACCAAACAACTATTAGAAAAAGAATTACCAGCGATTATTGTCAAAGGTTATCAGCAAGTTTGTTATTACTTCGAAATAATTCCCGTTAAGCAAGTAATATTTAAAGGGTTTTTCAGTGAAAAAATTTACCAGCAGATATTAGATAACCAGGAAATATTAACTAATTTAGGAATTGATGCTTGACAAGAGAAACATTTTGCTAATGCTTTGCGCAAGTTAGAGCAAACCAAGTCGGGCATTACTTTTCCTGCTAATCGTGAAAGTTGAATTATCCTTAATCCGCTTTATCATCAACAAGAATATTCACTTAAATTAATAATGAAGTTGGTAGAATTACTAGCCCATGAAATTTCCCATGCTGTCCTTTTCAATATCGATATTTGGCGAGGTCATGATTTTCCGCACGAGGAAATAACCAAATATCTAAAAAATTATTTATTGATGAACTATAATTGAGAAAAAATATTAAAAATAAACTAACATGCCAAGATTAGCGACCAGAAATCACAAAGAAAATAATAAGTTAGTTGGTTATTATGAACTAATTACTTTTTATAATAAACTAGACAAGCCACAAAAGGAGGAATTTCGCCACTATTTAGAGCAA